CCTAAAATTGTCTGCAAATTGGTCATTTGCACCTCAGAAATATACAGTGAATTAATATGTCCAGCATCATATCCAAACTCCTATAGTCCTAGACACCATTCAAAGTCTTTGACTGCAGCTTTCATTTCAAATATTTTTATTTTACCCTACCAGAAGCCCTCTACACCAGCAAGGCCAATCTCTCTACAGATGCTAAATTTACTCTTCTCTGAGCCTTTTGCTCCTCCATTACTCTTGGCCTTGCCTTCCAAGACTCCTTTATTTCCAGGTATTATTACATCTATCCTTAAGAGTTGGATAATTTCTTTTTACTCTACGTTCTTAGAATACAATGTCAGGTACTTCATCAGGCTTCTATTTACTAAGGAAGAAATCTCATCATATATATATATATATATATATATATATATATATATACACACACACACACACACACATACACACATTTATGACATATCGTGACCAAGCAGAATTTCAGGAAATGAAACACTAGGTAACACCAAAATTCAGACAATTTAATTATCTATTAAAAGAATGAAGAGAAAAACAAAATGACCATTTCAACCAATGCAGAAAATGGATATGACAAAATACTACTTCCTTTTGTGATGAAAACTAACATTACACTAGGAATATGAGGGAATGTCCTTATTCTGATAACAGGGATCCACAAACAATTTTTTTGGCGGTGGGGTTGAGTGGGGACAGAATCTGGCTCCCAAGCTGGAGTGCAGTGGTGGGATCACAGCTCACTGCAGCCTTAACCTCCTGAGCTCAAGCAATTCTCTTACCTCAGCCTCTGAAGTAGCTGGGACTACAGATATGCACCACTATGCCTGGCTAATTTTGTTTCTGTTGTTGTTGCACAAGCTGGTCTCGAACTCCTGGGCTCAAGCAATTCTCTTGCTTTGGCCTCCCAAAGTGCTAGGATGACAGGTGTGAGGCCACCATGCCCAGCCTGCGAAGAAATTAAAGCTAACATAATATTAAATAAATACTTATCATTTCTACTCAACACTGTACTGGCCTGTACTATATAGTGCTAGAATGTAAGAAAAATAAATAAAATGTATTATGATTGGAAAAGAGAAATAGAATGGAAATTATTTAGATGATTGTGTATGCAGAATGTTCAAAAGAATCTACAAATGAGCTATTCGAAATCAGATAATTTAGTTAGGCTGCTGGACACAAAGTCAACATACAAAAACCAACTGTACTAACATACCAGCAACAAACAGGAATGAAGTTTTAAAATACAATTTGCAATAATAGAGTCATGCCTGTATATCTGCAATAATACACGTTATGCCACCTTGCCACTGCACAAGCTTTTCCCCAATTTGGAATGCCTTTCCATCTACCTCCACATGCCTGCTGAACTCTGACATTTATTTCCAGTCTCTTCAAATTTACCACTTTTTAAAAAATATTTTCTCTCCCTCCCTGAGTACTTTTCAAACTTTAATTCACCAGCAAATTTTTCCTTATAATTACAAAAAATAGTAACTATCAAATATATAAAAGTGATAAACATGGAGCTTTCTTATTGAAACAAGGGTAGGAAATAAACTCAGAGCCTTGACTTCCCAAAAAATCTCCAGGGAAAGATTGAAACTCATTAATTTGATTATTATCATTATTATTGGAGAGGTAGTCTTGCTCTGCTGCCCAGGCTGTAGTATAGTGGTGCGATCTCGGTTTACTGCAACCTCTGCCTCCCGGGTTCAAGCGATTCTCGTGTCTCAGCCTCCCTAGTAGCTGGGACTACAGGTGTGCACCACCATGCCCAGCTAATTTTTTGTATTTCAGTAGAGAAGGGGTTTCACTGTGTTGCCCAGGCTGGTCTTGAACTCCTGAGCTCAGGCAATCTATCTCGGCCTCCCCAAGTGCTAGGATTACAGGCGTAAGCCACCACGTCCAGCCAGATTATTAAGCACCCAAATATCCAAATTGCTATTCTTAGCAACAACTTAAAAGATGGAAGTCTTTCTCCTATCTTACAGAAAATAAGTCAGCAGGCAGAAATTCCTTCCCCTCCAAATCAAACAAACTTACCTGTATTCCCATCTTTATGTGGGCTTTTCCCCCACCTGAAGTTAGTTTAATTCCTCCACGTGTGCTATGACTCAAACGTCTTTCAGAAAATTTGTTCCTCCCAGTGATGTCATCTTTAATCCACTCTCAACATGTGTATATATTAAAACATTAAAATAGAAATGCTCCCTAAGTCATTCTTCCCTTCAATTACACTTGAAATACTGTAAGAGCCTACTTGTGCACTCTACTTCAGTGAAATTTCTCTTGCCAAAGTCTGCAATATCTTATTTATCAATTTACCCTTATGACTTGATTTATAGCACCTGACGCTACTGCCATCTGAGATTCATTTATCCCTTGGGCTCAGTGACATCACTCTTCTGCCTTTTCTCCCACATAAAGGGCCATTCCTTTTCATCTTTGCACAACTGCTTCATTAACTTCTTGTATACTGACGTTTTCCTGGGCTGTATCCATGATCCCTTTCTTATTCTAATCTATACATTCTCATGGCCAATTTATATGTGCCATGCTTTTCGCTACTAACTATATCTTAGCTACTCCTAAGCCATCCAGCTTACACTGCCCTTTTAGATTTGGATGACTGATTTTTTTTTTTTTTTTTTTTTTTTTTTTTTTTTTTTTTTTGAGACAGTCTTGCTGTCACCCAGGCAGAAGTGCAGTGGCATGATCTCGGCTCACTGCAACCTCTGCTGCCCAGCTTCAAGCAATTCTCCTGTCTCAGCCTCCTGAGTAGTTGGGACTACATGCACCCATGCCTGGCTAATTTTTGTATTTTTAGTAAAGACAGGGTTTCACCATATTGATGAGGCTGGTCTTGAACTCCTGACCTCAGATGACCCACCCGCCTTGGCCTCCCAAAGTGCTGAGATTACAGGCATAAGCCACCGTGCCTGGCCTGGATGACTAATTTGACATGTATAAAAATCAAACTGTTTACCCCTACATTGCCTACAAGGCATATCATACCACCATCCATCAAGGTAACTAAGAAACCTAGCAGTTAATCTACCCTGTGTGCCAATCACCTTCCCCAATTATTTGACTGCAAAAACTATGCCCTATCTATTCTTACTACATTAGTATTTGCAACATGTTCTTCACTGACTACCCTTGCTTGAGCTTAGAGCCTCCTTCAACAATCATTGGAGGTTGAATTCTAGGCTTCAGTCTGTCTGTTCAGCTGTCTTCAATCTCCTAACTTCATCCTCTATACATTGATACAATAGTTTCCATTACTTAAAATCGTTACTTGGTACCCTAAATTTCAGAATAAAAGTCAAATTCCTTAGTTTGGCAAGTAAGACCTTTTGTTACCTAAGCGTATCTTTTTTCATTACTTTCTATAGATTCTCCACAAATATAACATGCTGTCACCCACCCACCTACACCTTTGTCTACGTGGTTCCCTCTATTTAGAATCTCACTTTATGAAGAATATCTATTATTCTTTCAAAGCTGGGCTCAGGAATTGTGGTCTCTGGGATACTATTGCTGGTCTCTCCTGGTTCGCTGGGTTAGTCTCCCTTCCTTATTTCTGCATCCCAGGCACATCTCTCCATTTGTATTCTGCAACACAGTATCATAGCTTACCTATTTATCTGTGAAAACCTCTTTAACACATTATAATTTGTTTACTCCTTTTAATCTCTTCTCCACCCACACAATTCATGACTTCTTTAAGGTAAGTTCTGTTTCTTTCATCTATGCAATTTCTAGAGCTCAGGATAGTATCTGGCGCAAACTCAGGCTTAAACATACATACTGAGTAAACCAGTTTTAAAATTTACAATTATTTTTTAAAAATTTCCTTTGCGGTCTGAAACTTTTAAAAACTAGAAAACTCCATAAAGAACACAATCTTTTATTTCATAAACTGGTAACTTTTGAAGACTGTCACAGGTGATAGGCTCTTTAAACAGGTAGGATTTCATCTGCAGCCAACTAAAAAATATTAATAGCTTTAGCCTTGAAGTGATTGTCTAAACAAACAAAATGCTTCAATCTAAATCATCTAACATTATTGTTCAGAGCATAGCAAGTATGGTTTCATAATAAATATGACCTCAAGGCAATAAAGAAAAATTTCTGAAAATTAAACTAGGAAATGTGTAAAAAATATTGGAGGCTATTTAGATGTTTGGAAATAAATAGAACAAGAACAGTTTCTCTTTTTTAATAAAAGCCATGCACAAAGTTTGACACTAGGTCAGGAAAAGGTAAATTCCAGACACTTGAGAGGTAGTTCAGTTAGTTTTTATCTCTTATTTGGTCCTTTGCTCTAATATTGCATATATATATACACACACATACACACACACACGCAATATTCCAAAAATGTTTATGAATTATTGCAGTATTTGCAATAGTTGCACATAGTGGCTACGAAATATTTTACAGTATTATTTTTCCCCAGGGGAAAGCATGAATGCAGTCCCCCACTATCACAGATTATGCAGTTGAGTTTCCCACATTTGGGGAAATCACAGGGGTCAACACATCTCGAGTACAATGGATAAGCCTTGCTCTGAAAAACCACCTTTGTGATCATGTTATCTCCTCTGCCAGGTAAGCACATGTTGCATGCACGTGTGTGTGTGTAATTATTTTTTTTTTTTTTGAGACAGAGTTTTGCTCTGTTGCCCAAGCTGGAGTGCAGTGGCACAATCACAGCTCACTGAAACCTCTGCCTCCTGGGTTCAAGCGATTCTGTCTCAGCCCCCTGAGTAGCTGAGATTACAGGCATGTGCCACCACACCCAGCTAATTTTTGTATTTTTAATGGAGATGGGGTTTTTACCATGTTGGCCAGGCTGGTCTCGAACTCCTACCCTCAGGTGATCTGCCCACCTCAGCCTCCCAAAGTGATGGGATGACAGGCGTGAGCCACTGTGCCTGGCCTATTGCATATATTTTTAAGATCAATTATTTTGTTTGCTATTAAAATGTTTGCTGTAATAAATATGCTTATTTTTATACAATAGCTTATACAGTTGTTTTTCTAATGAAAACTCCAGCACCTCGGCACAGAGTTTTCTCATCCTTGCATATCATAGATAGCATATAATGCTAATAAAGAGATTTTAAAAACATACCTTTTATCTTACAAATGGCCAACTTCAACATCTGCAACAGTGAATTGTCTTAGGATATTTTTTAAAGTGGGTGACTAGTATGAAAGCTTTCCCTATATGTATTACGTAGCTCAAGTTTTGAGATACTAAAAGTTTTCTCTATTTCATTCTCAAGCATGTATTCTCTGATGAGTTTTGGTTTAAGGCTTTCACACATGCAAATCAGCTTTTAAGGAGTCCTCTTCAATGTGAATTTTATAATGATTAGTGAGGGATGACCTCTGGCTAAAGAGTTTTCCACATGCATTACATTCATAGGGTTTCTCTCCAGTGTGAATTCTTTGATGTGCAATAAGTGATGAGCTTTGTCTAAAAGTTTTTCCACATGTATTACATTTAAAGGGTTTTTCTCCTGTATGAATCCTCTGATGTTGTATAAGAGCTGCACTTTGGCCAAAAGACATCCCACATTCTAAACATCGATATGGTTTCTCTCCAGTATGAATTCTCTGGTGATTACTAAGGGATGAGTTACACCTGAATGTTTTGTCACATTCGTTACACTTATAGGGTCTTTCTCCAGTATGCATTCTCTGATGTTGAATGAGAGCTGAACTCTGTCTGAAGGCTTTTCCACATACTTTACATTTACATGGTTTCTCTCCAGTATGAATTCGTTCATGAATAATAAGCGTTGAGTGGGAACTTAAGGCTTTACCACATTCATTACAATTATACAATTTCTCTCCAGTATGAATTATTCGGTGTCTATTAAGTCGTGAAATAGAAGTGAAGCCTTTCCCACATTCATTGCATCTATAGGGCTTTTCTCCAGTGTGAATTCTTTCATGTTGAATAAGAGATGCACTCTGACTGAAGGCTCTCCCACATTCACTACATTTAAAAGGTTTCTCTCCAGTGTGAATTCTCTGATGATAACGAAGGGATGAGCTAGACTTAAAGGTGTTGCCACATTCATTACATAAGTAGGACTTTTTTCTGAGATGAACTTTCTGACATCCAGAAAGGGATGTGCTGTAACTGGATGGCTTCCTACCTGGATTATATCTATGGGGATTTTCTCGAGCGTGGATTTTTTGATGTATAAAAAGGCCAGACCTTCGACTGAAGGATTTACCACATTCTTTACATCTATAGCATTTCTCCACAGTATGGGTTCTTAGATGCTTACAAAGGGATGCACTATGGCTGAAGGCTTTCCCACATTCTTTACATAAGTAGGGTTTCTCTCCTGTATGAGTTCTTTGATGTTGAATAAGAGCAGAACTTTGGCTGAAGGCTTTTACACATTCTTTACATTTAAATAATTTTTCTCCAGTGTGGTTTTTCTGATGTTTACGAAGAGATGAATTGTGAATGAAGGCTTTTTCACATGTATTGCATTTATAGCGTTTCTCTGCTGTCTTGATTTTTGATTGGTTAAGTAAATTTGAATTCTGCTTGAAACTATTTCTTTGTATTTCACAATTTGACAGAGTTTTCTCTCTAGCAAATCTCTGTTGCTTGATGAACACTGATTCTACGTAGAAGTTTTGACCAAATTCAACATTTTTATGGCTTCTGTCTACAGTGAGGATTTTTGTATGGGTAATTGAAATTATTTGTAAATTTTCATTTTTGTCTTGCTGTTTATTTAATTTCTCTTCATATATGCAGGGTCTTTCTGATATGAAGTTCCAGGGTTCATCCCTTTTCAGTCTTTTCCTCATCAGCTCCTGAAATGAATCCTGAGTTTGAGTTGTCTTTGTCATTTTAGGATTGCTCTTACATCCTGAAAAACAAAAAAAGAAAGCAATTGCCAATGATTCATGTGACTGGCTGAGACTAAATGTGTAGAAGGAAGATTAATGATATCTCAAGGAGGGTTTGCTTTATGACTAAAAGACAGTAAGAAGACAAAATTTTTTAAAACACTACATAAAATAATGGATGACAGCTGAACTGGCAAGTGAACAAAAAAATAAAGCAAACTCATTTTAGGTGGGTGAGTGTGTAAAAGTGACCAAGAGAATGGAGTGAAGGGATTAGAGAAGGAGGAGGCATATAAATTTAGGAAATATAGTTTGGTACCCAAAGCCTCTGATGGGCTCATAAATTACCCCATTCCTATGATTATGTATACTCCCCTGAATGTCTTCCCTCCTTTTCCTACATTCCAATCTCCTTTGTATCCTTCAGATTCAGTTCAAATGTTAACTCCTCTGTGTACCTTTTCCTAACAACTCACTCCCCTTATTATAGCACTTATTACAGTACGTTAAATGCATATAAGAAAGAAATAATATACAACTAGAGATGCTGAGAAAATCTTCAACAAAATTCAGCACCATTGACAATAAAAACACTCAAACAAAAATGAACTGAGGGACACTTCCTCAACATGATAAAATACATAGACCTTTTTCCTAAAGCTACTATCTTATTAAATATACTAAAGGTATTTCCACTATGCTCAAGAACAAGACAAAGACATCCATTACTTTCCCTACAATTTAACACTGTATTAGACATATTAACCAATGCAATCAGATAACATAAATCAATTAGGGATGAGTTAAGAGAAAGTAAAACTACCTCTATTTGCTGACAATATAATATTAAAAAGTGCAGAGAATGAATGATAAAAATCATTCAGTGAAGTAATTGGATATAAAATTGACACATTAAAATCAATAACCTTTGTTTACACAAAGGATCAGAATAGTAAATATACAAGTCGTATGAAAAGCCTACATGAGGGAAATTTTATACCAGTCTTAAATGACATTAAAGTATATCTGATGGATGACATTAAAGTATATCTGAAGAAATAATCACCTCTCCTATTCCTGTATGTAACAACATTATAAAAATGTCACTGCATTAAGACAGGATATAGATAGGATTTCTCAACCTCAGATTACATTTTGGGCTAGATAATTTAGTTGTGTGGATAGTGTGGGCTGCCCTGTGTATTGTGGAATGTTTAGCAGCATACTTGATATCTCCACCCAACAGATATCAGTAGCACCTCCCCCTCACAACTCCTCCCTCCAGGACACGACAAGCAAAATTGTTTCAAGACACTGACAAATGACAGAATCACTCCTGGTAGATAATCATTGGAATAGATTAATGCAAAAATGATCATGAATTGATAGCTGCTGAAACTGGATGATGGGCTGGGTAATCCCAGCAATTTGGGAGGCCAAGACAACAGGATCCCTTGATCCCAAGAGTTCGAGATCAGCCTGGGCAATATAGTGAGATCCTGTCTCTAAAACAAACAAACTAACTAACTAACTTAGCTGGGCATGGTGGCACTCCTCTGAAGTCCTAGCTACACAAAAGGCTGAGGCAGGAGGATCACTTGAGCCAAGGAGGCTACAATGAGCCATGATTACATAACTGCAATCTAGCCTGGGTGACAGTGAGAGATCCTGTCAAGATAGACAGACAGAAAGAAGGACGAAGGATGGAAGGAAGGAGAGGGAGGGAGGGAGGGAAAAGAAAAGAAGGAAGGATAAAGAGAGAAAGAGAAAGAGAGAGAGAAAGAGAAAGCGAGAGAAAGGAAGGGAGGAAGGGAGAAAGGGAGAGGAAGGGAGGAAGGGAGGAAGGGAGAGGAATGGAGGAAGGGAGAGGAAGGAAGGGAGAGGAAGGGAGGGGAGAGGAAGGGAGGGGAGAGGAGGGAAGGGGAGGGATGAGACGAGACAAGACAGAAAAGAAATTGGACGACAAATGGGAAATTATATTATTCTCTCTATTTTTATATATGCTCAAACTTTTCCACAACAAAACTAAAAATGAAGGTTTCTTCTACCTTCTGTCTTTCCTTGTAACAGGAGTGAATGGGTTAACCTTTTTCCTCTTATAGACCATACCTACTAAGAGACTTGCAATTTAAAAACTGGTTTCTGCAAAAAAATCAGCACACAGGCTGGGCGCAGTGGCTCCTGCCTGTAATCCTAGCACTTTGGGAAGCCATGGCAGGTGGATCACCTGAGGTCAGGAGTTTGAGACCAGCCTGGTCAACATGGTGAAACCCCATCTCTACTAAAAACAAAAATTAGCCAGGAGTAGTGATGCATGCCTGTAAACCCAGCTACTCAGGAGGCTGAAACAGAAGAATAGTTTGAACCTGGGAGACAGAGGCTGAAGTGAGCCGAGATGGCGCCACTGCACTGCACTCCAGCCTAGGCAACAGAGCGAGGCTCCACCAAAAAAAAAAAAAAAAAAAAGAAGTCAGCACACAGAGGACAAGGTCCTAAAAATATATTTCCTTTAAAAACAAACTTTCGGCCAGAGTGGTGGTTCACACCAGCACTTTGGGAGGTTAAGGCAGGTGATCACTTGAGGTCAGCAGTTCGAGACCAGTCTGACCAACATGGTTCTACTAAAAATACAAAATTAGCGAGTGTGGTGGTGCATGCCTATAATCCCACCAGCTACTTGGCAGGCTGAGGCAGGAGAATCACTTGAACCTGGGAGGTAGAGGTTGCAGTGATCCAAGATCGCATTATTGCACTCCAGCCTGGGTGACAAGAGCAAAAACTCCGTCTCAAAAAAAAAAAAAAAAAAAAACTTTCTAAGTGGAAAATTTAAATACTTATCAAATGACAAAATATATGTTTATTTATTTTCAGAGTACTTCGTAACTGTGACTTTTATGCAAGACCTCACCTTCAGCATACCTCAACCAACAGACATCAGTAGCACCTCCCCCTTAAAACTCCAGATGGTGGCATACTACATACTACCTACATACTTGAAGACAGAGAATGCCAAAAGTGTGAAATAAATGTGAGATAAAAGAAAAAGTGGATGTCAGGGAAGATGGTAGAGTAGGAAGCAGCAAGGTTCTATCTATCCACCTAGACAAGTGAGCTGTCAGAATCTGTCTGATGCAACTATTTTGAAACTCTGGAAACTATTTGAAGGCTTGCAGCTTCTAGGGGAAGGCCTGACCAGTAAAGTGAAATTAATTTCAGTTGGCAGCAGCTACCCATGTCTAATCCCTTAAACTCACGGCTTGCAGCTGTACTAGCCTCCCTAGAGTGGCCTTTGGTGGCCAAAGTGGCAATAAACACCTTGCTCTTCAAATAATGGGGATCTTGGGTTCAGACTGCAAATTATCGCTGTGAATCACAGAGGTGCAGACACAAATGCAGGCTGGCATTTCTGCAATCCCCAATGACCTGCTGTGCTTCCAGAGGATTTAAGGAACAGTGCCTACTATTTTCCCCTTCTGTTTCTTCCTTTTCCTGCTTTGGGGAATCAGACATTTAAGGATAAGGATATTTGGCGCAGTGGCTCACACCTGTAATCCCCGCACTTTAGGGGGCTGAGCTAAGTAGGCAGGTCGCTTGAAGTCAGCAGTTCAAGACCAAGCCTGGCCAACATGGGGAAACCCCAGCTCTATTAAAAATACAAAAATTAGCCTGGTGTGGTGGCAGGCACCTGTAATCCCAGCTACTTGGGAGGCTGAGACAGAACTTGAACCTGGGAGGCGGAGGTTGCAGTAAGTCAAGAAGATGCCACTGCACTCCAGCCTGGGTGACAGAGTGAGACTCCATCTCAAAAACAAAACAAAATAAAAGTAAAGCAAATGCGCACATGGGGAATTTAGAAAGTCACTGCACAAGGCCAGGGAAGACCTGAGCTCAGAAAAAAATATGAGAAGATCTTCAGTTTATATATACCTTAGGCTAATTCCTGGACTAGTGACACCCTACAACAATAAGAAAACAAAACCAACAACCAGCAAATCTTACAGAAGTGAGAGAATCTGATCCCCAGAGTTATAACACTGTAAGACAATAATAATAATAATAATAACAACAACAAGGAATAAAAAAAATAAAAAACTAGGCCAGGTACGGTGGCTCACACCTGTAATCCCAGCACTTTGGGAGACCAAGGCGGGTGGGTCATGAGGTCAGGAGTTTGAGACCAGCCTGGCCAATACGGTGAAACCCTGTCTCTAAAATTAGCTGGGCATGGTGGCACACACCTGTAGTCCCAGCTACTCGGGAGGCTGAGACGGAAGAAGCACTTGAACCCAGGAGGCAGAGGTTGCAGTGAGCCAAGATCGTGCCACTGCACTCCAGCCTGGGTGGCAGTGTGAGACTCTGTCTCCAAAAAAATTAAAAAAGGAAAGTATGGTTCAGTCAGTGGAACAAAATAAATAGAAAACATCTATGAATAAGACCAGATGGTGGCATACTATACAAAGACAACTATCATAAAGATGCAGAGAGAGCTAAAGGAAAATATGAATGAGTCATGAAAATGACGAACAAATGGAAGTATCAATAAAAAGAAAACAAAACGAAACCAAGAAGAAATTCTAGGATTTCAAAGTATAATAACTGAAATGAAAATTTCACCAGAGAAATTCAAAAGGTGTAAGCAGGCCATAAGAAAAATCAGCAAACTTTTTAAAGATAAGACAATTGGCCGGGCGCGGTGGCTCAAGCCTGTAATCCCAGCACTTTGGGAGGCCGAGGCGGGTGGATCACGAGGTCAAGAGATCAAGACCATCCTGGTCAACATGGTGAAACCCCGTCTCTATTAAAAATACAAAAAATCAGCTGGGCATGGTGGCGCGTGCCTGTAATCCCAGCTACTCAGGAGGCTGAGGCAGGAGAATTGCCTGAACCCAGGAGGCGGAGGTTGCGGTGAGCTGAGATCGCGCCATTGCACTCCAGCCTGGGTAACAAGAGTGAAACTCCGTCTCAAAAAAATAAATAAATAAAATAAAATAAAAAAATAAAGATAAGACAATTAAAATTA